GATGGATGGATTTGGGATGGATGTTATCTATTCACTACTATGATGCTCTTGTGAGATAGAGAGATGGACGGATGGATGATAGATAGATAGATAGATAGATAGATAGATAGATAGATAGATAGATAGATAGATAGATAGATAGATAGATAGATAGATGGATAAGAGAAAGAGAGAGATGGATGGATTTGGGATGGATGTTATCTATTCTTCTAAAATGGCACAACATTTATTTTTTATTGCAATATCAAGTACGCAATACATTTAATTTCTCAACAGGCTACCGGCCCCCACCCTTCTCCGAAAAGTTCTATCTAATTGTAATTGAGAAGAACACCAATGGCTGCTCAATTCTTCACATGTGGCACTTGCACCTTAAGTCTGTCCAAGCATGTTTAGGTGAGTGAAGCTGTTGTGGATTAATACAATTGAATTCGTGGTCTTTGTAACGGTAGGTGCCTTCATTTGTTTAACCACTTTTATACTGTTTCCCGATCTGTCTTCGTTCCACTAAAGTGGCTTGTCGATTATGCTTCTTGAAAGGATCATCTGCTGAGGTTCATTCGTTGGGGCAGCAGCTAACTGTTCCTGGGCAGCCGATGGCCGATTCTTCACCGGAAACCACAGCTGGCACAATGCCGATGCTGCGTTCTTCGTCGGTGGCTAATCTTCAGACGGCTAGTAAACTTATACTGAGTTCCAGCCTAGTTTACAGTTACCCCTTGGATCTGCCACCTGGGGTGGAGGTTGTACGAGCTACGCCTTCTGCAGGTAAAATAGGAGGACGGACAAACTAGTGAGTGATACCCTTGGTGGATGGGCGCTTGAGATTACCAGCAAATTATGCAAAGAGATTATGCAAAGAGTTTATTGTAAGACTAGCTGATAAACTGCCCGGGTATTTATTTAATCCAACCCACCTTCCATGAACATTGCCACAATTTCTAATGTTGGATTTTTTTTTCCCCTACCAGAGGGAGCCCCCTTGTGGAGTACTGTGAAGCCGTTACCATGGCAACTCCACAGCGCTGTACAGTAGAATTCATTTTAAGGCAGTACGGTAGAAGCCATTTTAAGGCACGACAGGCTATATCTTAACAGAACACACACCCTAAGGGGTGTTAACAGTGTCTTACCCCCACAGTATTTGTTTCCAGAGAGTAAGTCATCTGTGTACCAAGTTTGGTTGAAATTGCTTGAGGTGTTCCAGAGTTATAATGGAACATACACACACAGATACACACAGCCATTTATAGATAGATAGATAGATAGATAGATAGATAGATAGATAGATAGATAGATAGATAGATAGATAGATAGATAGATAGATAGATAGA